CTGAGCAGAAGGCAGATGCTTAACTGAGCCACCCAGGAACCCAGAAATGGATACATTTTGAAAATATAAATTGCCAGAACTGCCACAAGACTGGCAGAGTTCATACTGTTACCACAATTTGGTCAAAGAACACTGTATGTCTAATATCGGTATGAGAGAAAAAAAACTGCTGATCCTTCCTCTCAATCCCATGAAGTCCCAAGTCCAGATAATTTCACACTTTGAAGTAAAGTTCACAAAAGATAAAGATGCAAAAATCCTACATGAACTGTTAACTGAATCCAAGGGAGTATTCAAAAAAAAAAAAAAAACAAAAAAACAGACCAAACAGTACTTATCCCAATAATACAAAAATAGTTTATTATCAGAAAATCTTTGAGTGTAATCTAGGACATTAAAAGATTAAAGAAAAGGGGCACCTGGGTGTCTCAGTGGGTTAAATGTCTACCTTCGGTTCGGGTCATGATCCCAGGGTGCTGGGATCAAGCCCCGCATCAGGCCCCCTTCTCAGCAGGGAGCCTGTTCCTCCCTCTCCCCTCTACCTGTCGCTCCCCCCAACCCCCGTGCGCACTCCCTACCCCTGTCAAAAAAATAAAATCTTAAAAAAAAGATTAAAAGAAAAATATAACCATCTCAGGGGATAGAAAACTAGGTATTTGATAAAGTGCAAAACCTATTTTATGATGAAAAATTATAAATCACAGCTTGATAGTAAACTCTGAAGTGTAAGAGAAACCATTTGACCTTGATTCTTGAAACACTGTCCTTAAAGCAAAATAATTTAATGACAGGATTATACTTCCTTCCCTACTGGTCCAAACACACTAGCTGGTCCTGCAGGGAAAGCAATTATACAATCATAATAATGTAAATGCTGTTCACTGGTTTTTGACCTTTATAATATGATCAGATAAAGCACTAAAGTGTTGTAACTTTGGTAATGCACAATGACACAAACTAGACAGAAGCAATGGAAGGTTGTACAGATACTAATTTTCTCATCTTATGAAATAGAAACCCTGAAATAGTATCTAAAGTTGCTGGAGGGAAGAAGTAATTTTAGAATATGCCTTTACATTCAAAAGGAAAGCAATCGAAGAATTAAAAACAAGTGAAAAACCAGAAGCTTCCCACTAAGATAGGAACAAAGCAAGGATGTCCTTCTCACCACTCCTTTTCAACACTTCTAGAAGTCATAACTAATGCAATAAAACAAAAAAAGGAAATAAAAGGTATACTGACAGAGAAGGAAAAAATAAAAGTGTCTGTTCACAGATGACATGTTTCTATGTACAAAACCCAAAAGGAATCCACAAAAAAACCCTCATGGAACTAGTAGGCGATTATAGCAAGATTGCAAAATGCAAGGTTAATATACACAAGTCAATCATATTCCTACATGCTATCAATGAACAAGTGCAATTTGAAATTAAAAACACAATACCATTCACGTTAGCATCGCCCAAATGGAAATTCTTATGTATAAATCTAACAAAATATGTACAAGATCTGTATGAGGAAAACTATAAAGCGCTGATGAAAGAAATTAAAGAACCACATAAATGGGGAAATACTCCACATTCATGGATAGAAAGACTCAATATTGTCAAGATGTCAGTTCGTCCCAACAAAGACTCAGTTAAGTGCATTTGTTTGGACAGTAAATCTTAAATGGTCCAGAACAGTCCAAACTTGCTTAGGGGCAGTTAGTATCCTCCAACCCTGTGTGGCAATCTAGAGTCCCACACGCAACAGATTTTAAATAACACAGTGATTATAAAGATGAAGGAACAAAACTTGAATATTCAATTCTATGTTCTGTGAGGTAACTTGGGAGTGTTTAGTTGTGTTTAATATATAAAACAGTGTGAAATGAGAGGTATAAGTGCAAATTTTAGCTCATACGTGAAATATTTCACTGAATTTGAATAACAGATTTAATACTGAAATGTATTCTTCTCAGTTATTTGCTTTGTAACTAAAGAATGAATCAAGAAAATACATAAACATCAGTGGCACAATTTGGTAACTGCCTAACATGTCTTTTGCAGTTGTTTGTTCTATTAGAATTCACTTATTATCAGACAATTGTTTCTTTTTAGTAC